TCTTTCAGAAGTGGACGGCCTCTTCCTTCTTCCTAGTCTGTCTCAGTCTATAAACTGGCTGTTACCTATGCACCAGGTGCATCTCGCTGGGTTTTAACACCAGAGGCTCAGCCTCAAAACTCACGTCTACATGTCCCACAGTAGGACAAACCGACAGACAAGCAGAAGTTGGTGGTTCAAATCCATCAACCACTCCATGTAAGGAAGACTGGGCAATCTACTGTTGTAAAGATTTACTGCCTCAGAAACCCAACGGGGCTCGCTATGAGTCAGAACTGACTTGATAGCAGTGAGTTTGGTTTGGTTTTTATACATGCATATATGAAAGGGCAGATGAAGACTGCTCAGGGAAGTGACCTTCTTAGTACTAACACTATAGAAATTCTACAAATTCCATGAAGTCTGTTTAAATATTAGTGCCTGAGAAGAAAGACACAACTCTGACAAAATTTTATCACTATTGGCAAACCTGAAATGTATAAACCAGTTTTAAGAGAGATATTCAAATCTTTTTTCAATTTTGTGGACAAAGGTGATGTTGCCTTCTACTACAGATGTTGTTATAACTTCATCTTCACAATGACCTTGTTAATATTGCTGAAATACAGAGAGGATCAATTTTCAAGCTCCACAATTTTCTCCCTGAATAAGACTTTATGAAAAACAATCAGACCCAAATTGAAAAAGACACCCATGTGTTCTGTTTTGAAACATTTGTAACTGAAAATGTTAATCAAAATTATAAAAAACAGAAATAAGAAAAAATAAACTCAATAGGATAAAAATATTAAGTGAAATACTTACTGCTCCCTCCTCTAAAAAGATTTTTGAATGCATGAATTATAGTCTACGAGGCACAATCATTTAAATCAAATCACGTATAATATATTATACTGATTCATGATAATATTTTCAGAGTTTATCCTCAGGGTAAGAAGTAGCACAGTGATTCTTTCTGCCATCATATATAGCTGTCATCAGCAAATTAGTTACAGAACAATGGCACTGCCAATATTTATAAATTTACAAAGCTAACTTTGAACCATATAAACATAAAAGTTTCATGACAAATGAACAAAAATGTAATGTAATACTGTATCAACATCATGCTCAGGGAATGAGATCAATACATTTTGTTATGAATGGTGATGATAGTGAAAGGTTTTGTATTTATCCAGAGATGAGCTAACAAAATTTAAATTTACTACCTTTGCTCTATAACTCTTCCCAACCAAGACCCACTGCCATGGAGTCAATTCTGACTCACAGGGACCCTACAGGGCAAAGGAAAACTGCCACATAGGGTTTCAGATTGTGAAGGCTGTAAATCTTCACAAAACCAGATTGCTACATCTTTCTCCCTTGGTGCTACTGGTGGGTTTGAACTGCCAACTTTTTGGTTAATAGTCAAGTGCTTTAACCACTGCAGCATGAGGGCTCCATTTATGAGCTTCTTTACCTTTTTTCCAACTAAATAATCACACGAGTTGATGGAGGCAGCTCATTCCCAGTACTTGAGGGTTAACTCAAATTTTTAGGAACCTTGTAAACTAGATGCTAAACTGTTGGTAACCTGAAATCACCCACAATGGGAATATCTATACTATAAAAACTGGCAAACATTTCAAATCCGGCCTTTGCACCCCGCCCCCCCCCCAGACAGCCAGTTGACTAGCACACCACCAATGCACAATGAAATATCACATAGTAAATACAACCATACAGCCACTACCTATGTCAAGAAACAGAACAATTACCAATCCCCAGAAGTTTCCCATCTGCCATATTTGAATTATTAGTTCCTTCAGAAGGCTGAAAACCCTCCAGATACAAATACTAGAAAGGAGGAATCCTCACAATCAATGCTATGTTATTGCGGCCAGCTTCTGTGTCAATCCACGTTGTCAAAGGTCTTCCACTTTTTCACTGACCCTCTACTTAACTAAGCATGATGAACTTCTCCACTAACTGACCCTTCCTGATCATATGTAGAAAGTACTTGAGACAAAAGTTTCACTATCCTCGCTTCCAAGGGGCACTCTGGTTGTACTTCTTTCAAGATGGATTTGTTCATTCTTCTAGCAGTCCAGAGCATATTCAATATTCTTCACCAACCCTTTAATGTAAATGCATCAAATCTTCTTCAGTTTTCCTTATTCATCATTTAAATTTTGCATGCCTATAAGGCAACTGAAAATGCCATTGCTTAGGTCAAGCACATCTTAGTTTAAAGAGGTCTTTTGTAGCAGATTTGCCCAAGGCGATATGTAGCTTCATTATTGAGCGCTGCTTCCATGAGCACTGATCTTAGATTCAAGTAAAATTAAATCCTTGACAACTTTAACATTTTCTCCATTTACGGTGATGCTGCTTATTAGTCCAGTTGTGAGGATTGTTGTTTTCTTTATGATGAGGTATAATGCATAATGAAGGTTGTAGTCTTTGATCTTCATCAGTAAGCGCTTCAAATCTTCTTTATTTTCAGCAAGCAAGGCTGTGTCATCTATGTATCACAGGTTTGCTAATGAGTCTTCCTCCAATCTTGATGTCTCATTCTTCTTCACATAGTCCAACTTCTTGGATTATTTGCTCAGTATACGGATTGGATATGTATGGTGAAAGGATAGACCCTGATACACACCTTTCCTGATTTTAAACCATGCAGTATACATTCTCTTATTCTGTTAGACCAACTGCTGCTTGCTTGTTCTGCATGAGCACAATTAAGTCTCCCAGAATTCCCATTCTTTGCAATGTAATCCATAATTTTTTATGCTGTACATAGCCTAATAAAACACAGCTAGACATCATTCTGGTATTCTCTGCTTTCAGATAAGATCCATCTGCTATCAGCACTGATATCCTTCATTCCACATCCTCTTCTGAATCTAGTTTGAATTTATGGCAATTTTTTGTTGATATACTCCTGCAACCATTTTTGAATTATTTTCAGCAAAATTCAGCAATGGTAAGAGTGGGGAGAAATATTAAATTGTATATGTTGTTGAGCTCTATGAAGAGGAACTAGGCACATACATGTGGACCAGACCTGTTCAGTGCAGAAACCTTATCGATGAAATGGAGACAATTTAAGATATTATAATTTGTTTGTATTACCTTGATGTTTTTAATATATTCATCAGTGTTTAGTAGAAGGAAAGCTCAAGTAACCACTGCAAATAAACTAATGACTAGCATTTGATTATTACTGAAATTCACAGGTTTTGCTATTTGTTTTTTTCTCTCTAATACATATTGGTACTTGTTTGTGAGAAACCAATATTAAATGAGTCTACTTCTTTTAGGAAAGCAGAGTCTACTTACTGGTGCAAAGATGATAGTACTTAACAGTAATTATGTAGTATATGGTGCTAGTATTAAGGTCATGCTTATAGGAACTGATGTATTAATGTATATTAAATAGTCAATTATTGGTTTTTTTTGCCCCAGTGATCAATTTTATCATATTTCCATTTTTCATTATTTATCTGAAAGGTAATTATTAAGATACCAGGGTATGTTATGGAAACTAATGATTGCTAGACTTTATATAAAAACTGGCTGTCTCCTTATAAACTCATGGCAATCTCATCTGGGAGTAGACCAACTCCATCGGGTTGTCTTATATTTACCAGAAAAACAAAACAAAAAGTTGCTTCCTCAGAAGGAAGACTGAGCAATCTACTTCCGTAGAGGTACCACCTCAGAAACCCAAGGAGGGGTCACTATTAGTCGGAACTGACTCAACAACAGTGAGTTTTTTTTTTTTTTTTTTTAATGTTGACCTCATGTGCTTCAGAGTAGAATTGTTTTCCAAAGGGTTTTAAATGCTGTGACCTTTTAGAAGTAGATCAGAGCCTTTCTTCCAAGGCACCTCTGGGTAGATCTGAATAATGAACGTTTTAGCTAGCAGGCAAGTGTTTAACCATTTGCATCACCAAGGGAATCCTTTTCTTATATTTAAGTGGCTAGAAATAAAAACTAAATAAACATTATCAACAGAGATGTGAGTGTAAGTTACTGACTTTTTGTCTTACATTCAGACAATTAAATGTTCTAATGAGAATAACTGCCAAAAGTAATGCTCAAAATTGTAGTACTTTCATGACAATTACAGAGTTTGACCAACCAACCTTTATTGTTTTCCTCTTCATATGGATATTCATTCATCCATTTGTTTCTACAGTCACATTGATCCTGTAAGAAAACAAACAAAACAAATAATGAGAAAAAGTTCCGCACATTGTTTACAGTACTTCACTGAAAAAAAAAGGACAAATATCAGCAATTATACATGTCTTTATGCTATTGGTTAGGAGTTCTGGTGACATATTGCCTAAGGCATTTAACTGCTAACCAGAAGGCTGGCTGTTCAAACCCACCAGCCACTCCTCAGAAGGAAGACTGGGCAACCTGCTATCCATAGTGATACTGCTTTAAACCCAAGGCAGGGTCACTATGAGTTGCCAACTCAACGGCAATGAGTCATTATGCTGTTGGTTAATGAAGCAACATACTAAAAATGATAGCAGATGATTTCTTTTTTTGCTTGCTCTTAAGGAGCCATGTGAAAGGCAGAAACACCAACCATGACACAGCTGTGATATCCCAAACATAAGATAATGAAGACCTGGGCAAAGAAGAGGATGAGGGAGGGGAGGAGGAGAATGAAAAAGAGAGAAAGGAGAATTAGGAATAAAGCATTCTATATTGGCCAACAATCAAGTAACTTTGGAGAATTAGGAATAAAGGGTTCTATGCTGGTCAACAATCAAGTAGCTTTTGAAAGATGAAAACCAAAAAAACCAAACTCACTGCTGTGGAGTCGATCCCAACTCTTAGTGACTACCCCCCGCTTTGGGTTGCCAGGGCAGTAAATCTTCATGGAAGCAGATTGCCCAGTCTTCCTTCTGTGGAGTAGCTG